CTCAAGCTTTAAAAGAGACCCGTACTCCCATGGTTTACTTGCAAAATCGAGACCTTATAAAAGCCATGCAGAAACCAGGAAAAATCAGTACTCCTAAAGGGGCTTTGAGTGACGACGACGACGAAGAGGAAGAGAGCGGATTTCAGGATGCTTCCTCTTCTTTTTTGACCCCTATTAGTCGACCTGTAGAGGCAAGATCAAGGGTGTTAAAAAAATTCACACCTAAATATAGTCCCTATCGAGCCCAAAAGCAATTAAAAACCCAAGAAGAAGAAGCCAATAAGAAGAAGAAATTAGAACAAATCGAGGAAAATTGGCTATCATTGCCTAAGACATGAAGAAGAAGAAGAAGAAGAAGGGAGTAGAAGACATTTTAACAGAGATTTATTACGATCCCAAGAGAGGATATGGAGGCATACAGACTTTGTATCGTCAGGTCAAAAGTCTGGGACATAAGATTTCTTTGAACACCATACGAGAATGGTTAAAAGAGCAAGATACCTATACCTTACATAAACCCATTCACCGAAAATTCCGGAGACAACAGACCAGAGTGACGGATATAGACGAACAATGGCAATTAGATTTAGCGGATGTGTCCAGTTTAAAGAAACATAATGACGGTTATACCTTTTTATTGTGTGCCATTGACGTCTTATCTAAATATGCATGGGTGGTGCCTTTAAAACAGAAAACGGGGAAAGAAATGATTCGAGGATTACAAGAGATTTTCCGACAAGACGGTCGACGTCCCGTCCGCATTCAATCGGATCAAGGCAAAGAATTTACCAATCGAGAATTCTTACAGGCGTTTAAATCCATTCATTTCTTTACCACTCGCAATACGGACACCAAAGCCAGTATCGTGGAACGATTTCAGAGAACCCTCAAAGCACGCATGTGGCGATATTTCACTCGGAATAAAACCAGACGGTATTTAGAGATCTTACCGGATTTAGTGTATGCTTACAATCATACCTATCATCGCAGTATCCAAAGAACCCCAGCTCAAGTGAAGCCCTCGAATGTGTTAAAAGTCTGGAAAACTTTATATGGGGAATCATCACCTAAACCAAAACCCCCCAAGTTTAAAACAGGAGATAAAGTGCGCATCAGTAAAGCTAAACGCACTTTTGAAAAAGGATATTTACCGAACTGGACCACGGAAATATTTACCATTGCTCAACGAGTCGAGTCCCCGGTCGGTATCCTTACGTGTATCGAGTACAAGATTATAACCAGGAGGAATTAGAAGGGACTTTTTACGAGAAAGAATTACAACAGATCATTAAAAAAGACGACGTGTACGAAGTAGAGGAAATCTTGGGGTATAAAAAGCGACGAGTCGGGAAGAAAATCATTCAAGAAGTCAAAGTCCGGTGGAAAGGATATCCCCCTAGTTTCGATTCATGGATTCCCCAAACGGATCTCATCAAATAACACCTCATTGGAAATGTTGTGGAGAGAATATTCCTCGAGAAGAAATTGTGTATTTTGCACAATTATTCATTTGTATTTCCCTCATCATCACCAGTGTGGTCATGTTAGCTTTACACGATTCTAATCGAGAATATTGGATGGTCTGTGTGAGTTCTTCGGTGGGTTACATCATGCCTAGTCCTACCATGATACATCATACCCCTAGGGTCAAGAAGACCAATTCACCCAGTTAATCCCGGAATCTAAAAATAGATACACCCCTCTATATAAAAAGGAGACACCATAACCCTAAGAGGATCATTTCTGATCTGAGTGAGGGACAGAGCACACATCATGGATTTTTTAAGCTCAGAGTATCGTTGGAAAATAGTAGAACCTGAAGGGACTAGTCACAAAGGAGAATGGATGAAAAACAAAGAGACATGTATTCAAGATTTCTTTGATAAGAATCCAGGACAAACAGGTCTCAATGAAATCTACCTGTATAAGAGATTCAAGTTACCGCACCGCAAAAGAAGCAAACACATGGTCTTATTAGGACCCAGATCACCTAAATATGGAGAATTTAAATGGAAAGTCAATTACGTCTTGGCTCACCGAACACAGGGACCCGAGAAGACTTGGATTCATGGGAAATGGATGAAAAAAGCCAGAGATTGTATAGAAGACTATTTGATAGAAGTGGTCGTAAAAGGATACGATATCATGGACTGTGCTTGTGAAACAGACTATTTGTACATGAGGAGACCTTTTCCCATACAAAAAGAACTGAACAGAAGTTTTGAATGTTTGTTATTATGATGTTCTTGTTGTTGTTGTTGTTATGAATAAAAAAAAATAAAAAGAAAAAACCAAAAAAATTCTAGTGTTGTTAGTTATTTTTCCCTATATACACACATACAACTAAACGCTCTATATACACACAACAGAGCGCTCTATATACACTAGCTTTGTCATGATGACGTCACAATCACGGATTTGAATCGCTGCCAAGTATTTACCTGTGTAGTCAGCATAAAAAAAACGTAGGTCTATCGTATTGATGCACACGCCCCCTAATTTTTTGCACACGGTCCTTACAGGTATAAAAAGGTAGGTCATTGGTGCACACGGCTCACAGCAGGTATATAAAGCGGAGCTGGGAGTACCCTGCACTCATTATTTAGCCATCATGTCTTTTGTGTGGAGAATTATCTATTGGATTGATGTAGAAAAGACAATATGTTATCACTGCAATGAGAAGACGAAAGAGATACATAAATACGTCGGCTATAACGATGCGGGAGAAGTTGTTGCTTGGTACTGGGGATGTAGTAAATGTAGAGAACCTATGCCACACTGGATTGTAGAAGACCCCCCTTCCATGGAGACTTGTGGTTGTAGCTGGTGCCTGAAATATTTCATCTGGAAGAAAGGAATTGAGAACATACCGCCTCCCCGATGGGTGAAAATGACCAGGAACAGACCTTTGAAAGAATGTATGATGTGCTACCAGGAAAAGACTCGAGGAAAATGGAAATGCGGACAATGCCGGCAATATCCGTGTTGTGAAAAGTGTGTGAAGAAACTCTTTGAGACTTCCTACAAGAAATGCCCCTTATGCCGATATGAAGGACAATAAAATCATTTTTTTTTTTTTTGTATTTTTTGACTTGAATAAAAATTTGTGTTTAAAAATTCTTTGTTGTTTTGTTGTTTGTTTTAAAAATAAAATATAATTTAAAAAATAAAAATTTAAAAAAAAAAATAAAATAGATGAAAGGTTTTATCAAGAGGTATATAACAAACCCTCTCTCATTCTGAAAAAGGACACTGAACAAGTCAGACGTGTTTTTTGTTTTTTCCCCAAAGATGCAGTATCGTTGGTATTGTGAGAGTCCCATTAGTCAGTGTATGTACATGCAAGGAGGGTGGATGAAAACTAAAATAGGAGCCATCATGGATTTCTTTGAAAATCATCCAGGCTATTACCTGGAGAATGTGTGGTTGGAAAAAAGAATGAAAATTCCCTATCCTCTAACAGGATCTAGAGTGAGGGTGAAAATCAACCAACATTATCAGCAATTCAAATGGGTTACTTGTACTCAAAGGAATCGACTGACACCCATCAACACCATTCAGAATGAAAGTTCATGGTACTCGGACATTGGAGATTGTCTGAAATATTATTTCAAGATGGAGAAAAAAGGACTGATGTTTCCACCTCATTATTGTCCTACAGAGTACTTGTATTGTCGCATCCCCTTTTCCCAGATTAAAGACTCGGTGGAAAAGAAAGGACATTTGTTGACTCGAGTGATTGAGGACCGATCATCAGAAGACGAAGAAGAAGAAGAAGAAATAGATGTGTAAATTTTTGAATAAATTTTTTTGAATTTTAAAAAAAGTGTTGTTATAAATACAAAGGTCTTAAGGTCTAGAGTCTCAGTCTTAGATTGAACATGGCCGAGAGCAGTGGGTTTTACATGACTTTACCCAGTGATGGGTCTATGGCCTCTTTTTCTAGCAATACGACTGCTCAATTTAAAACCTTATTACCACAATCCCTAGATTTAACCGACGGAGAATGGGAAGTGGCTTTAACAGAAATGATGTATCCCAATTCATTGAAAAACATTACAGAAAAGGAGGCTTATTTTGACATCCTGGTTCCTCAGTCTTATGCTCGCCATATCAAAAACCCCAATGTTTATGGCAGATTTAAAATGAAAACCTTAGACCCAATGCCATTACGTCAATGTCCTGTACTGCTCGATTGGGCCCATACTAAACGGCCTGCACTCATTGAACTAGATAGCAAGATGGAAATTAGACGAATTCACTTCAGACCCGGGCCTTACACTCACCCCAAGGCTTTAACAGAGGAAATAAGTCTAGGACTAGAGAGATCATTGAAAAAAATATGGAAAACCCTTGGTGATGGAGATGAAGAAAAATCTATGAAATTAGTATATTACGAGACCTATGATCGAGTGATGTATCAAATTAATGCAAAAATGCTTAGTCCCTTATGCATTCGTTTCCCCACATCCCTAGCTTATAAGCTAGGCATGGACAGTCAGAAGGTCATTCTTCAGAACGATACAGAAAACATGACCAAATGGATCAACATTAGTTACTTGGGAAACAATACTGTGGATTTATATGAAAATCTGAAATCCATGTATGTCTATTGTGACTTGATTCAACCCCAGACGGTAGGCTCCAATGCCTTGAAACTCTTAAGAGTGGTGCCTTGTACATTTCATTTGGAGGATTCAAAACAAGCCAAATGGGAACCCATTCGAGCGGAATATTTGAAACTAAGTAAAAAACATTTCGATACCATTGAGATTCACATCATGACTCCTTTAGGGACTCCCATGCCCTTTGTAAGTGGTAAATCAGTGGTGAAACTTCATTTCAGAAAAGTATACTGAGATGAATGTACCGTTATTGTGTTCCATCTTATTGGGCGTGGTGGCTTGCCTGGTCTGCTGTCTGTATTGTATTCAGCCGTAAAGGGTATAAAAGGAAGTCCCCAGAGGATATAAAGGTCAGTTGAACAAGAGACATGAACCATGCAGTATCATCCCGGATTACTGAGACAAAGAGGACACAGTTGGACTTATCATAAAGGTTTATTACGTCAAAAAGGCGGAGCAGTAGGTTCTATCATCTCTGGATTGGTGGGAGCCCTTCCCTTGGATAATTTTTCACCCGGACTTCCTGCTACACAATTACTCAAATTGGGTAGGCTTTTAACTCACATGAAACCTCAAAAAGGAGGAAATTTTTTAAACTTCCTCTCGGCAGCAGTCCCTAACATACCGCTACCAGGCACAGACTCAGGTTTGACTCTCAAAAACGCGGCCGAGTTAGCCATGGGGTTACAAAAAGGTCGAGGATTTGTCAAAGATTTACTCCAACATGGGAAAAAACAAGCCATCATGGCCGGAGTGAAGATAGGCAGAGATGTGGTGGGAAAAAGAAAAAACATCAGAAATGCTCTTTTAACCCACGGACTCAATGCGGCCAAAAATACAGGTCTATTTGCTTTCAATCGAGGAGTCTCTTTACCCTTTAGAAAGAAGAAGAAGAAAAAAGGACAAACAGGTCAAGGAAGAAGAAGAAGAAAAAGAAGAAAGCAGACAGGGAGAGGAAGAGTCCTGTTAGCCCGAGGGGGTCCTAAGAGAAAAAGGAAAAAACAAGGAGGAATTCCTAAAAGAAAACGTCATTTAGATGTGTTTGACTGAGAGAGAGAGAGAGAGAGAGAGAGAGAGAGAGAGAGAGAGAGAGAGAGAGAGAGAGAGAGTATAAATAGGACAGTCCAGGGAACAGAAGGTTCATTTGTGAAAACTGAATCCTAGTAGACACATCATGTTACAGCCCGATTCCTGTGGGTGTGGGATGAACAATTTACAATTGTTTCAAGTCCCTCCGACTAATATTGCTTTAGAAGACTCGAAATGGGAAGAATATTACCCCATTTCCAGTACTTTAGATTCCGACACCGCTCCCATCGAATTTGAAATTAAAGGACAAGGAGATCACTATCTGGATTTATCTCAAACTTATGTTCAAATGGTATGTAAATTTACCAAAGACGATGGAAGTAATCTGACTGGGGCGAACAGCACTTCCAGTCCCGTGAATAATATCTTACATTCCATGTTTACGGAAATCGATGTCAGTCTGAATGGAAAAATAGTGACTCCGGGGACGGATACCTATCCTTACAAAGCTTATCTGGAGAAATTATTGTCTTACCGACCCAGAACTTTAAAGACACAGACGAGGGCCTGTAGTCTGTGGGAAAAAGATACGGCAGGACACATGGACGAAGTGGGGTTAGAGGACCTTGGTGTAGCTCAAAATAAAACCTTTAATGTAACTCCGGGTGCAAATGGTGGTGCCGACACGGTGACCATTAACGAACCCATCCTCACAGCGTTACCGGCCAATTCTAAAAACGAAGGATTCCGAAAAAGACACCAAGCTATTGCTGACAGTAAGAAAATCAGTTTGCTGGATACTTTACATTTGGATTTGTTTCAACAAGATCGATTTCTACCCAATGGAGTGGACGTCCGTTTGCGATTTAATCGAGCTAGACCCTCTTTCTACATGATGATCAAAGGAGGAAGTACAGGAAAAGTGAAAATATTGAGTATGATCTTGTGGGTGAGAAAAGTCAAACCCACAGCAGTCATGATGAATACCATTAATCAGAGTTTGAATACCCACAGAGCCAAATATCCCTTGAGAAGAGTGGAAGTGAAAACCTTTACCATCCCCACAGGAACCCAGTCTAAGATTACAGATCATCTGTTTCAAGGTCAGATGCCTAAACGTCTCATTTTAGGCTTTGTGGAGAATGCGGCCTTTAACGGAGATAAAACTAAAAATCCCTTTCATTTCCAAAACTTTGGGATCAAGAAATTAGATGTCAGTATCAACGGAGAGACCATGAGTACTCGTTGTTTTGAGCCTAATTTCAACGACGATTTATATCTGAGATCATATCTCAGTCTGTATCAAGCTCTGGGAAAATTAGGAGAAGATTGGGCTCCGGACATCACCCTAGAAGAGTATAAAAGCGGCTACACTCTATGGGGCTGGGATTTCACTAAAGATCAAGAAGCGCAATCGGATAAATTCCACATCATAGAAACAGGAAATCTGAGAGTAGAAGTGCAGTTTACCAACAATACGGCTACCACCATCAATTGTGTGGTGTATGCAGAATTCGATAACCTATTAGAAATTAACAAACAGAGAGAAGTGAGCATTGATTACTAAAAAAAAAAAAATGGATACGGGACAATTGATTGAGAGAAGTCTTATCCAGAGAATTCAAGAGTTCTTTTGGAGGCGTGTATCCTGTAGATTTATTACCGGATCAATTAAGACCTGGAGAAAAAGCTGTCGTGGTCAATACGGATCCTCAAGATCGACCTGGAGAACATTGGGTGTGTCTATATGTGAGCAATCCCGTGGTGGAATATTTCGATTCTTATGGATTTCCTCCCTTACAAAAAGAAATTCAAGATTTTATCCAGCGTCATGCTCAACAATGGATTTATAATCCGTATCGCTATCAAGACTGGAATACCGATGTGTGTGGACAATATTGCGTGTATTATTTACATCAAAGAGACAAGAAAAGAAAGAAAACCGACGAGTGGCTATTCCCCTTTGACCAGAGTACGGCTTTACAAAGGGACAGATACGTGGCGAATTGGTTTAAAAACACTTATCATAAATTACCTACGGGTCATGGACAAAAGTGTCAATGTTTTTATCAAAATGTATTGTAAATGAGTTGTTTGTTGTTTGTTGTTACAAAATAAAGAATGAAAAAAAAAAATCAAAATCTGTGTTCTTATTATTATTTATGTGTTAGTGTTTTCAGTAAAAAAATCCAGTTTGAACTGGTTAGGCTAGACTGAGCTTTTGACTGTGAAGCGTGACGTCATAATCTTGAATCGGTGCCAAGTATTTACCTGTGTAGTCAGCATAAAAAAAAACGTAGGTAAAACGTATGTTTTGCACACGGCCCTTATCTTTCAAGGTGAGGGGGTATAAAAACAAGGTGTTAAAGACGATCCTCCTCAGTTGGGGGGCATGTGGTTGAGTAAACGACAGTTTGGCAAGCGAATTCCTAGAATATTAGAAGACATGGAGATGGATAAAGATAAATTTGCCTTATTAGAAAAGAGAATGACGGAACCTATGGAGGGGGATCACGAAGCTCCTCAAACAAAAAGAAGAATAGAGTTGAAAACCCTGGATCCGGAACCTAAGAATGAATATTTACCCCTGCATGAGCCTGTGAAGGATCCTAATGATCCAGACAGATGTTACAGGGTAGCCATTAATTGGACTTTCACCATTAAAGAGCCCAAAGAAGAAGAAGATATAGACATGTTTCTGAGCAACCAAGATGATTTCTTCTTCGGTTTCCAGTATTTGATTATACAAAAGGAAAGACATCCCTGGACAGGAGAACTGCATCAAATCAGGGGATTCATTCAAATGAAGGAACCAGAAGGAGGACTGACTATGTGCAGACTTCATATCGCTGCCAATTTTGCCATGTCTCACAGTACCCCAGAATTGGAAAGTATGTTTTACAAGCAAGGAGGTGACTATGAAGAATATGGTGTTCTGAAACCGGAGGAGAGAAATAAGGAATTGGAGCCCAGAGATTGGATAGAATGGGAAATAGGAGCTTGGAAGAAACCTGAAGCTATTGCAGCTAGAGAAGCTAGGAAGAAAAAGTTCTTAAAGAATGTGAGCTGGTCAAGATGTGAATAAAAAAAAAAAGATTGAACTGTTATTTATTGTTAGATCTCAATAAAAAAGAAAAGAAAAAAAAATTGTGGGTTTTTTGTCATTTTTAAAAAATAGGTTATCTCCCTTTAACCATAGATTTTTTTTTTCAAAACACCAAAACAAAAAGTGTTGAGGGTTTTTAAAGATTGGGGGGAAAAATAGATACAATAAAAAAAAAAAAAAAAGTATAAATAGTAAACATGGTACAAAACACACCTCAGTTGTGGACTGGCTTCATTATGGGTAACACCTCCAGTAAAGAAATGAGTCAGAACACTAGATTAAAGGAAACTGAATGGTTACTTATACAGGAGGGAGGAAAAGATATCATACCACCTCCCTTGATGGTAGAACATCCTGCAGTATTTATACCACCTCCCTTGATGGAAGAACATCCTGTAGAATATAAACCTCAGGAGGAGGAAAAAGAAAACATAAGACCAAACAAACTCTTGGAGGATATTAAGGCTCATTATCAAAATAAACAGAAAGAAAATACAGGCAATGGATATATTGCTTACTTAAAACAAGACAGAGGTAGAATAGCCAATAATTGGATATTTAATTTAACTGGGTGCCGACAGGAAGATGTAGATCAAATCATTGGAAGTGATTATCAATACTTGATCTTACAAAAAGAAAGGCATCCAGAAACTGGAAAACTTCATCATGTGAGAGGATTCATTCAAATGAAAAACAGGGTTCAAGGGAGATACATGTACAGAAAGATTCATAAATTAACCTGTTTTGAGATGTCTTACAGCACCCCAGAATTGGAAAGAACCTTTTATAGACAAGGTGACTATGAAGAATATGGAGTTCTAAAACCTGATGTGAGAAACAAAGAATTAGTTCCAAGAGATTGTAGATTTACCTGAATAAAAAACTTTTTTTAAAAAAAAAATTGTGTTGTTGTTGTTGTTATATAAAAACAAGGGTGTTTTAAAAAATAGATTCATTTTACATCATGAGTCTCCAGGAGATATACAAGGTGATTTACTCAACTGTGAGGTAGAAGCTATTGTTCATCAATGTAATTGTTTAACTGTAAAAGCTCATGGATTGAGTCAAAGTATTGCAGAGAAATTCCCACAAGCCAATCTCTATGCCACTCGCAGACCTCTAGGGACTAGAAATTTAGCCGTAGAAGAAGATAGAGGAATTCCAGGCACTATTAAGGTGTTTCCCTCACAAACCCCTGTGGTCATTTGTTTATTAGCTCAATGGGATTATGGAAAAGCAAGTCACCGACCTAAAAGAATTTCCACTTATCAGGATACCCCACAAAACAGAGAGCAATGGTTTCAAACTTGTTTACAAGAAATGGGGGAAAGTTTACCTTACCAGACTTATGCTTTTCCTTACAAGATTGTGTGTGGACTAGCCCAAGGAAATTGGATTCATTATAGACATTATATTGAACAATTTGTACACACTTATGAAAAACATGTGTACATTTTCATCATCATCATTAATTGTGTGTTTTTCATGTGATGTAAAATAAAGGAGAAAAAAAAAGTACCTTTTTATCTGTCATACTCTAAAGTCTGTTTTAAACAGGAGATGAAGGTCCACCGCAATCCCCATGCACTCATAAGCAGATCTCTGGGGGGGTCAGTAGAAACACTCAAGTAGTTTTTTTCTTTTCCCCTGTGATATAATGTCAATATTTTAATGGAAAATTCAGAAATTCATCAGCACTTAAAGATAAAAAACTTGCTATCTTTATGGTATTGATTTCCATTATCAGATTTTATTTTTTATCCATTTTAAAAATATAAACATTTTAAATAATTATCTTAATAATAATTAAATAAATTAAAATGATATCTCATTGAAACTTTTTTTAGATTCAAGTTTTGTTTTTGTTTTTATGTTAGTTATTTCACTGTGTATTTCCAAAGGAAGACCAACAGCCAGGCTTCACTTCACTTAGAGAATGGATTATAGATGGTTAGGAACAAAACATATCTTCCAGGTTGAGGACTGTATAGAAAAATAAAACCCATTTTTTGTTATTATGATTTAAATTACATGAGACAATGCCTCTTATAAATGTAATGCAAAATAATATCTCTTATATATATGGATTCCTATACTCTAATCATATTAAATGTCATTTGTAAAATGTATTTTTTAAAGACAGATTTTATTTAGGATCGACTTTTTAAATGATGTCATGAATAGCAGGCCATACTTTAAGCACATGACAAAAACATTTTCTCAAATTACACAGAAATGGGTTATTTAGCATAGCTGACATTAAACATATAGGTGAGGGATAACATAATCACAATCATAAACAATGTGAAACAACTTTAAACTACCTACAGGGTGGATTACAAGCCTTTTTCACTGGGGTAAAATCTTGTCGAGATTCATCATGGCCGCCTAATTTACATAGAAAATTAAGTCGTACTTGAACACATAAATTTTTTTTAAAAAGTGACCTGGTGTTATAACTTGAGAGAAACACAATGTTTCTTTTTTTTTATTGACTGTATAAGTAGGCAATTTTACCGTTTCTTATAAAAAAAAAGAGGGCTTTTTTTTTGATACAATCGTTTTTTGACTGTATTTTATTTTTTTTTTTTTAGACACATAACGTTTTTTTTTTTTTTGACTGTTTAAGTAGGCATCTTTTCGAAACAATTGGGCAGCCCTTAAAAGCTTTTTTTGTATTTTTTTTTTTTTTTTTTTTTTTTTTTTTGGTTTTTTTTTTTTTTGTTTTTCCTGGGACCATATCTCCTTCTGGAACTGTCACTGATAACATAAACTGCCCACGGGCTGTATAGAGGCTCACTTTACTGCAAAGGGGCATAAACAATGTGAAACAAACTTTCAAACAAACACAGGACCTGGGGACGGAAAACCCCCAGGGGGAATCCGCCCCTGGTTCCTGGCTTGACTTTGGGGGGTAGATTACAAGCCTTTTTCATTTCTGGGATTCGTAAAATAACTTTCGAAATTCGAATAATGAAAAAATCCGCCGAAAAACGTATCCCATGTTCTTCTTTTTCTTCTTCTTCTTTTCTTTTTCTTCTAAAGTAAAATCAGCTACGGCAGAATGAGAAGCTCGGAGGGTCTGTATTTATACACAATAGCAGACGATGTAATCGCGGCAAAACATCAATAATCCAATCATGTGATCAAATGTGAACACAAAAAAATCGCTTTTGATCATGTGATCAAAAAAAGCCCCATCACAGTGACAAAGCAAAATTGAAGGGGGGAAACGCCGAACCCGAGTGCATATATGACGTCATACAATAACATAACACTGATGTAGTATTACATGATTTTTTTTATTTCTTAAAAACTAACAATGCTTCTAACTGTCGAATTCTCCTCCGAAATCGTATTCGATCCGCTACTAGGGCCATCCAGGGACTTCTCCGGTCTTCGGGGGGTAATTCGTAGATTTGATTGAGGCTGGTATTAAAAGTCACGGATTTCCTAGCCTG